TACAAAAATTTACAAAATTTATGAAAATTGTAAAAAATTGACTATTAAGGGCAATAACTCCTTAAGGGGTCAATTGACAATTTTGGTCATGTTGACTTATTTGTAAATCTTACTTTGCTGTACATTATTGCTGTTTACAGTTTATCTCTATCTATAATAATATTCAAGATAATAACCAAAAGCTGCAAAATTTTCTTAAAATTACCAATTCAGGGGCAGCAACCCAACAACGTGTTGCCTGATTGGTCTGAAAATTTCAGGGCAGATAGATCTTGACCTAATGAACAATTTTATCATCGTCAGATTTGCTCTGAATGCTTTGGTTTCAGAGATATGAGCCAAAAACTGCATTTTACCCTATGTACTATTTTTTAGCCATGTCCGCCATCTTGGTTCGCGGACGGGGTCATCAGACACATTTTTAAAACTAGATATCCTAATGATGATTGTGGACAAGTTTGGTTAAATTTGTCTTAGTAGTTTCAGAGGAGAAGATTTTTGTAAAAGATTACAAAAATTTACGAAAAATGGTTAAAAATTGAATATAAAGGGCAATAACTACTTAAGGGGTCAACTGACCATTTTGGTCAAGTTGACTTATTTGTAGATCTTACTTTGCTGAACATTATTGCTGTTTACAGTTTATCTCTATCTATAATAATATTCAAGATAATAACCAAAAACGGCAAAATTTCCTTAAAATTACCAATTCAGGGGCAGCAACCCAACAACGGGTTGTCTGATTCATCTGACAATTTCAGGGCAGATAGATCTTGACCTGATAAACAATTTTACCCAATGTCAGATTTGCTCTAAATGCTTTGGTTTCAGAGCTATAAGCCAAAATCTACATTTTACCCCTATGTTCTATTTTTAGCTATGGCGGCCATCTTGGTTGGTTGGTCGGGTCACCGGACACATTTTTTAAACTAGATACCCCAATGATGATTGTGGCCAAGTTTGGTTAAATTTGGCCAAGTAGTTTCAGAGGAGAAGATTTTTGTAAAAGTTAACGACGACGGACGACGGACGCCAAGTGATGAGAAAAGCTCACTTGGCCCTTTGGGCCAGGTGAGCTAAAAATGACCCCCGCAATGTCAACAGTGGAAGAACAAATCTGGGAAGCACAACATTTATGCTCTGAGTATGAATTCAATTTTTTGAAGTTGTTTGTTTACCGAGGGAAGTGTACCCCTTTCTTCTTTGTTTTTCATTGGATGTTAACCAAACATTTCTGAAAACGACAATGAATGTCAATAAATATATCTGGTCAACTGTGTGTGTATGGCTCCATACGATAACATAAGGTTCATGTGGACACTTTGGCTAAATAGCTGTGCTTTCACTTCAAAATTGACAACTTATTGTGTTTGGCGAAAGGTGCTTTATTATAATAATGCAATCACATATAATTATACCAAACATGGTATCAATAAGCAGGGAAGGAAAAAAAAAAAAAAAAAAAAAAAAAAATGTGCGTAATCATAACCAGATTCGACGCCCAAAGCATATATACCGAGATATACAAGCGTTAGAAAACACCATGTATAAACAAGCATCTACATAATCATAAATATTCAACAACTTAACAATATCATTCAATTAAAAGTGTCGGTAACAGGTCCGAGTACACAGTTATTTCGTAGTGCATTTCTTTTAGACAATAAATGAAAATTAAAAAAATCCCACCTGCGCTTTCTCAATAATATTTTTACAGTGTGTTGTACTACTTTTGGGACAAATTATATCAAAATTATAGAAAACTTCATCGGCTCTAACTCAAAATATGGACAATTTCATGTTAAGGGGGTCTTCAAATCTTTTGACAGCTTCCGAAGTGCTAGTTTTTAACATTTTTCAGCTGGACCAAATCACTACTTTACTTTAAAATTCATGACCCAAAGTTTTTTACAGTGTCATTTCACCCCCTACTTACTATTTGAGTCATAAAACATGGAGAAATAAATTTGGAAGGAGTATAAAAAAAATCAACAAGTAACACACTGTCCACACTAGGGACTATATTCTTGGACAACGAAAATCAAAGGACGATAACTGTGTACCCGGACCTAATAGGTTAGAAAAAGTTGACCAATCTTAATGAAACTTGGTTTGACCAAAGCTTATTAAATTATAAGACTGCTTACAAAGTTTCATGGCAATAGGATATATATTATAGACAATATGACTAGTTCTATATTCAACTTTGCGTGTTAAATTTAGACGTTAAAATGGAAAATTTTCAACTATCATCATTTGGGGCTTAAAAAATTAAAATATTGCAAAAAAATACTTTTGAAATGCCTTAATATATAATATATTATGTATTAAAAGCAATAGAGTACTCATTTGATTTATCAGACTTATCATAATTATTAAAAAGTCAAATTCATATGAGCCTGTGGCTAAAAATGGAGGTTTTCCAATGAAGGGGGGCCTTACATAAAGATGTAATATTTTCCAGCAATTTTAAATTTGTAAAGCTTTTTGGTTATAAATAATCCTTACATATGTATTTAATGTACTTTAAATGGAAAGAAAACTTACAAATAACATATCACATTAGTTTCAAAGGGTCTTAGGCCAAGTAAGACTGAAAATAATTTAGGGTCAATTTAGGCCGTATCACATATTTACATTTAAAAAGGAATATTGAAGCTATAGGAAATACAATTTTGTGTCTTTTCTATCATTTCTATACTCAGGTGACATGATACAATAAATCTGAGCACAAAAAGACTCTTGCATTCAACTTTTTTTGCAGACAGTATGGTCTGATACAAAGATTTTTCACTTTTTAGTGAAAAACATGCATGCAATTTTAGTCTTAACAGGCTTGTATTTGAACCACTTGCTATCCTACAGAAGAAAAGAAAGATATTATGTGACATAAAACAGGTACAACAGACATTGTTAAGTGCTTTTTATACAAATTTAGTGAGGTCTTTATAATGGACTTCAACTTTTATGTTCCAAGCTCCTCACATTTAACTTGATCCAAACAGGGCGTTAGACGAGGATCATATATACAACACATTTTGCACATATTGTCTGAGATAATCTTCTTTTCTGTAGATTCAGAGTTCACAAATGAGTAATACAACTGGATTGAAGCATAGAAACACAAATATTGACACATAAAAACCTGTCAGATAGAAAGTCAGAATGCCACTTATGCATCAAAATTGAAAAGGCTATGAAATGCTTATTTTGACCATAAAATGCAAAAATTGGTCATTTTTGCAGAAATTCTATCAAATAAAAGTTTAAATCCTTTAGTTTTATGCTATTTGATAAATTGACACCATCAAATCATTCAGGGAAGTTGCCAAAGTACAGATTCTATATTTCCTGATTTCACCTCTTACATGTAGCCCTACTGAAAATGAGTACGGGATTCCACTGGATTTCCAGTGAAATTACACTGGTATTCAGTAGAAAAAAATATTCCGATGGAATCCCATTAGAATTTCATCCAAAGCATCTGGAATATTTTTCACACTGTAATTCCAATGGAAAATCAGTGAAATTTCCAACGAAACTTCCAAAGATTTTCCAATTAATTTCCAGTGGAATATTATTGTTTATATTTCAGTGGAGTTTTGATTTAATGCAAATATTCCAGTGGAATTTTGGACTTAGAAATTTAAAGGAATATATACTTCTAATTTAATTTTTTCAAATAATTAAGTGCATGATTATTATATAAAGGATTTAATTTGTAACATATAATTTCCTGGCCTGATAAGAAATTAAATATTATAATCATGATAATAAATGGGATGTAATGAATATTTCATAAACCTACATATATACATGTATATGAAACATTTGTTCAAAAAGTTTTACATGGTTAAATGTAATATGAAATCACTTGCCTAGTAACAAATGAAAATAATCATTTGGTCTGAAAGACCACCCCCCCCCCCCCCCCCCCCATATAAAATAAGTAAAATGGTAGCTCCTCAGATGTAGGGTGAATATAATGCATCACCATATAGCCTATGAGTATGACACATTGAAAGGATACATTTTAACCAATTAAATGTGCAATAATCAGCTAATATAAATAAAGAAATGAATATTTTATATCAAATTGGGTTGAGAATAAGATTTTGTTTGATTTAACGAACAAAAACAATTAAGATTCTTTTTGAAAAATGTGCATGGCTCTTAAAAGGGCCGTTTTAAACAGATCTGTTGCAGAACTTATCTTCAGACTGTACGAATTGTTAGGATAACTCCGTTTTTTTCTTCAAGTGACCGTACTGGCAACTGCCCTGCACTACAGTCTACATGTATACAATAATATAATTATTTCTCCTTTGACTTCATCATGTTCATTAACTGTTACTGGTCTACTGTTCTTTTGAGAAAAGTAAAGTGAACGGCTTTCATTTTCCACATTGTTCTATAAACTGTTTCGGTATCTTAACTTTGTCGATGTGATGAATTTTTCATCATTTTCATGTCCTGAACTCGGGTCATATAAGTTAATCTATAGAAACATTTCACATATAATCCGCTCCAATCAATTGTACGCTAAATGTCAGTGTTTTGGCATAATTTGAGCAGAAAATTCGTGAAACTGTAGTCTATAATGTTGTTTTTCAACACACATGTTTACATTCATGGAGGCTGCCATTTTTTTCTACCAGACTATATATATAACCACTGATTTGATTGGATAACTCTATTTCCGGGATTTCCGATCGGCCAATCAGATAGTCGTTATCATTAATACACGGAATGTGTTCAAATTTGAAACTAAAAATATTGTACGAGTATGTATCCTGTCCAGCATTGTCCAGCTGTGGTTACATTAATCATGTTAATAATAATTAATACTCAACAACCTTCGATAAATAAAGAAATAGACATTAAAGGCAGAACATTTAGGTATGACATTAGCTGTTGAACCAAGAATTTACGATGAGACGATGTGCTGATGTTGGGCAGACGTACAGCAGATCTATACAGGTAATTTTTTAGGAGATTTTACATTTGATTTTTACATCATGAATATTTTTAATTAAAATTAAAAAAAAAGATATACACCCCCTTTAGTTTCATTCATGGGCTCTGTTAGTTCACACTTTGAGGATGACCATTTGGTGTTCTGAAAAGGGGGAGGTGGGAATGTAATAATAATTTTATTATTCAATATTGAATTACATTGTGTGCCTTCACAATCAAGAAAGATGTTTACAGTTTACTACACAATGTCAGGCACATTCAACTTAATTTTGTCATGTTCTGATTTGGATGGACATGCAACACAAAAAATCCCTAAAGGTTAATATTGTGTTTTAGAGTCTTTATACTTAACTGAAAGAAGCTTCTTAATTATATATGTACATTGTATGATAAATATCAGTAATATATGATGCATACAGGTCATGACCAGATTTAAAAATTATTAATAAAATGTTTTTACATTTTTTTTTAGGTTGTCCATATATTAAAAGGGATTGATCATGGTGAAGGTACAAAGCTGCAAAAATGATGACTGTGCATCGATCAATATCCACTCAATAATATGAAAACAAACGAACCAGCAGCAGAAAAGAAATTTGAGTATAAGATTATTGAAAGGTACTTATTGAATTATTTTTTCATCCTTCCCACACTTGAAATAAAAATACATTAATCATGTTAATCATTCACATCTATAAGCTGTAAACACATCTCAAAAACATTGATCTGATCATCATGCACAATGGTTAATCATGGCTATTATGTGAACAAAATGAGGTGTCTGGTATGCTTCAACCAGATAGTAAACCAACAACAAACACAACACAAAGGGAAAGATAATATGAGGCTAAATAAAAATATATGCGTGGTTCCAATTCCCTTACCTACCTTTTTTTTAGTCTTAACAATAGCCTACCCTAAATATTTTTTTGTCATTTTTCAGTAAGTACTGTTTAAGTCAGAATGTTGCTCCCATAGACATGATAGACTCAATGTAAAAAAAAAACATAAAATAAAAAAAATTCTTACCTACCTACCCTAATTTTTTTTAAATGTAACTGGAACCACACATACTATTTTATTTGGCTTTGAGAGACACCTGATCCATGAACAATAAAAGTCTAGCCAAAGATATCTAGAGAACACACAGTCTTCAACAATAGACATACATGTGTCTAAATTGCTCTTAGTGTATAAATGTTGTGAATAAATTACACACAAACTCAAATAAAATATGCCAGTAACATATATTTTTGAATAATTGCAGACTGGAGCATGGTATTGTAATGTTATTTTAATTCAAAATTCTATGCATGTTTTGATGTATGATTTTTTTTCTTTCAGATTAATCAATGAAGACTTAATGGAACAGGATTGGAATGCAGAAACTTTGGACTTAATTCATGAATAATATCAATGGATGAAGAAAACTGACCAAACTGACAAAGTATTTCGTATGCATGTAAACTGGACATTTTTGTTTGTTTAATGCACAATAAACAAATTTGTAAAATTTAAAATTAAAACTATTTGTGAAAGATTTCAAGAGGACCAAATGTTACCATGGACTTATGAATGATTTAACCAGAAAAATGATTTACATGTACAATTAAGTAAATACATCTTTGACTAAAAAATGATAATTTATCAACGTTAATATTTTAAAGAGGTTGATCTTTTCGTTTAAAAGGTCTTAAATGTGGATGATGTATAAACTGTTGTAATTTCTTTAATTGTTGACTTGCATTAAAATGGTTATTGTCTTATTTCAAGTTTTCTTATTAATTCATTCAAAAATAAGCAGTGCATGCAAAATGATATCTAACATTTCAGTGGAATTGTCAATTTCCATTGAAATATCACTGGTTTTCTTTGGTTGATTGTTACAATTTCCAATGGAATTACCACTGGTATCCCAGTTGAAAACAATAAATGTCCAGTGGGAAAACAATGGTATTCCAATGAAGTTTTCACTGGTATTCCAATGGAATTTCCACTGTATTCCACTCGAGTATTCACCGGAATCCCACTGGATCAGGGATGGGCACGATTACTGACAAATGTAATCGATTAATAATCGATTACATGAAGGATTTTTGTGTAATCGATTAATAATCGATTACTCTGATTTTTGTATGTAATCGATTGCAATCGATTACTTTATCAAAAGTAATTACATTACTTTTCGATTACTGTCAATTACATGCTACAAAATTACAAAAAAATAATAAAGTAAGTTAAACACAATATTGTTGCTCAACGTTTGTATAGTGGAAATTTAGAACTTTACCAAAAACAGCATTTAAAGCATTGTATCCAAATTTTAAGTTGACAGTTGTTTTCTAGATGGATTCTCTTACTGAGGATCAGAAATATTCAAAAATTCTTGAAATTTTGGCTTTCAACATGAATGAGAGATGATATCGCATTGCATCAAACACTTATCTATATTGTAGATTTTTTCATAAATTTTGCTTTCATACTGACTTAAGTAAGCTTTTTGTTTTTTACTAATTAAAAACAGGTATATTTTAACATAGTTAATTACAATGTTGGAATTTTCCTCTGAAAAAAAATGTAAAAAAAGGTAGAATAATTAATTAGTTCAGCTAATTTTAAAGATCGAAATTTATAATTATAATGACATGCATGAATTATTCCTTTTGTTTGGATAACCACCCTAATTACAGGTTATAAAACTGCCAATGGAGTACACTTTATAACCTGGGGCAAAATAATGTAAATCTCCTTCTTAATTAGAAATAATTGAAAAGAAAACAAAGTCTGCATCTTATTGATTAGAAGTCTTTGATCATCTGATTAGTAAAGACAAGAAGTTTGTTTAGATTTTTTTATTCTCTATTCAATTTATAAACAATATATATTTATAGTGTCAAAATGGGATACATGTATCTATTCCTGAAAAAGAATTTCAATGCATAGCCATTGGTTCATTGTTGTAAGGATTTTGTGTACTTTCTTACTTTTTGTATCATAACATTATAAGGAATCAACTGTGTATCTATTCTAAGCTAAATTTTCAACTCTTATTGAAAATTATGCTTTAAGGAATTTAAATACAAATAAAATTACTACTTTAATATAGTACAGAACTTAACTTCAGACTCATTTCTTATTTTAAATCTATTTTCTTATTTCAAATCTATTTTCTTATTTTAATATAGGTCTTGAATTATTGACAAGCACATAAATTCATTTGTTTCAAAAGCTAGATATAAAGTAAAATTTGGTAGGGGATCAAGTTGATCATATTGCAGCTTGAGACAAAAGATAGAAATAAGGCAGTTGATAAACTCTTCAGTTATTTTAATACATTCTACTTTTATCTGTATTATAAAGTGATGAAAACATACATATTTTCATTTAATATAGGTTATATTTCATCAAAATGTTTTACTAAAGTAATCGAAATGTAATCGAAAAGTAATCGATGATTACATCATAATTTTTGCTGTAATCGATTAAATTACGATTACATGTAATCGAAGATGTCTTCGATTACAGATTACTGTCGATTACTGGAAAAAATGTAATCAATTACAATCGATTACGATTACAGATTACGATTACCCCATCCCTGCACTGGATATTCCACTGATATCCCAATGGAAAACAATGAATGTCCAATGAAAATCCCGACCAAATTTCCCAGTGGTAATACAGTGGTATTCCAATGGAACTCTGATGGAACTCCACTGGTATTTTCAGTGAAATCCCACTTTACATTTTCAGTAGGGAGGTCCGAGTACACAGTTAGTTCGTAGTGCATTTCTTTTAGACAATAAATGAAAATTAAAAAAATCCCACCTGCGCTTTCTCAATAATATTTTTACAGTGTGTTGTACTACTTTTGGGACAAATTATATCAAAATTATAGAAAACTTCATCGGCTCTAACTCAAAATATGGACAATTTCATGTTAAGGGGGTCTTCAAATCTTTTGACAGCTTCCGAAGTGCTAGTTTTTAACATTTTTCAGCTGGACCAAATCACTACTTTACTTTAAAATTCATGACCCAAAGTTTTTTACAGTGTCATTTCACCCCCCTACTTACTATTTGAGTCATAAAACATGGAGAAATAAATTTGGAAGGGGTATAAAAAAAATCAACAAGTAACACACTGTCCACACTAGGGACTATATTCTTGGACAACGAAAATCAAAGGACGATAACTGTGTACCCGGACCAACAATAGCAATTATCTATTGTCTCTCTATTGTCTATGTCAATCAATACAGTTCACTTCAATTATTACCTGTGGGGAAGATCTCAAACCTCTTTCCCAACTTTGTTTATTTTGGCTCCTTTTGGAGGAAGAAAAAAAATGCACTGCAAAATCCAGATAAGTTTTTAATTTTATATAACATAAAAAGCAGCCATTTTAGCCAAAAGGTCCACATGAACCTTAAGTTTTTAATCTTTTAAAACATAAAATTCATTTGAAATTTATTTACCTTAAGTAATGTTATGTCCCCAGTACTACCTAAATTGTATTGAATTGCTCTGAACTGAACTGTTCTCAGTATCCTCAGTGGCGGATCCAGAACTTTTTATAAAGGGGGCCCACTGACTGCCAAAAGAGGGGGCCCGCTTAAGTCATGCTTCAGTGATTCCCTATATCATCAACCAAATTTTTTTCCACGAAAAGCTCCCCCCCACCATGGATCCGCCTATGGTTCTCGAAATCTGATCAGTAGTGCAGTTTCAAAAATGTTATTTAAAGAAAAATAGTGAAGGTAAATAACGTACTTAACTTACTTTGCTTCAAAACGTTTATTAGCGATATACAATGAACTTCCTGCTACGTTGTACAGGTGTGCAGAAGAGCAAAGTCAAGGTTACTTTTACAAGCTTCAGTATTGATTAATCAGTGTATTATTACCGTATCACCATGGTGATACGGTCTGATTAGTCAGCGGCTGGACGTCTGGAATGTAGTAAATCTGTTAACGGTATCTCATTGGTTATAAATAACATTAAATGGCTGCATCTCAGCTGCTTCCGGGCTGCTTCTGGGGGAAGTGAAGGATATCTTAACGTCTGATTGGCTATTATTGAGTTGTATGCATTATATGTCAACGCGTCCGTAAGTGGGGTCGGATAAAAATCATGATAGTAGGTCATCGGTAGAAACTATAATGAAGTGTTCATTTGCTATCATAATTTCAGCCAAATTTAGTTCACGAAGCCCTGTCAATTTGAGCAAATAATATCATTCTGTGATGATGAAATTTATGTTATCTTGAAATTTTGTTGCAATTTTGGTACAAAGGTGTGTATTTATGGATTATTAATGTTCTTTCAAAAACAAAACAATAATACATCTAATCTTCACTTTATAGTGCGTATTGAAACATATTTTGCTATATTTCTTCATAAACTATAATTTTAAATAGTAAATACACAAAACGTGTGCTCTATGATTAAAAATGTTATCCTCATATTTTTCATTGCTTGGACATATTGATTAGAAAATATTCAAACACGGAATTTACCGTATTGGTACGAAGATGTCATTTCGTTTCCCCGCGCATTCACCGCTTCATTGATTTCTGATGTAAACAAAACAGACAATTGCCGATAAACAGCTGATTAGAAGCAAGGTGAGGAATGTGGTTGCGTGTGTGCAAGGAAGCAAACACCAAGCATCGCGGTTTAGTTATGGACAAGGGTTTCAGTGCACTTCAGTTTGTTTAATGACCCCTCTAGCTGGACGTTTCTGTTCTACATCAACGACCTACCAGAAGGCTTACACTCCACAGTGAGACTGTTTGCGGACGATACTGTGGTCTATTTGACAATTTCATCAGACAGCGACTGCCATAAACTCCAAGAAGACCTGGACAAACTGGCAAAATGGGAAGAACTCTGGAAAATGGAGTTCCATCCTGAAAAATGTAGTGTCCTCACTGTTACAAAAAAGAAAAAGCCAACCAAGTGGGACTATAAACTCCACGGCCATACTCTGGTGCATGAAACATCAACTAAATACCTAGGCTGCACCATCGCAAATGATCTAGATTGGGGAGAACATATAAACAACATCACAGGAAAAGCCAGCCGAAGCCTTGGTTTCCTACATCGAAACCTCCACATTAGCTCAAAATCCATCAAAGAGCATGCCTATAAAATATTAGTAAGACCGCAAATGGAATACGCCACGACAGTATGGGACCCGTACCAGCAAAACCACATAGATAAAATTGAAAAGGTACAAAGAAGAGCTGCACGATATGTAACCAGCAGACATAGAAATAGATCAAGTGTCAGCAACATGATAAATGAATTAGGATGGAAAAGCTTACAAACAAGACGAAAAGAAGCACCACTCATCATGTGTTACAAAATAACAAACGACCTTGTAGCCATAGACAAGAATTAATATCTACAAAAACCAACAAGAAGCTCAAACCGGACAGGACAACATACTTACCTATTACAGCCAGCCACCAAAGACTGTAGGAAATGGTCCTTCTTCATAAACACCGTCAAGGATTGGAACAAACTGCCACCAGATACCGCCACAGCAAAGTCTCTTGAGATATTCAAGTCTCAAGTCACCAAAACCACAAACTAAATCAACAGAACAATTTGTTTTTATCCTGTTTTTAACCTGTTTTTAATCATGCGCAACTTGCCAGAATATTCATCATGTTGAATGTGGGCAGTATATGGAAGAAGAGAAGACGTCTACGACTATAGTATAGATGAAATTAAAAAAGGCAGCAGTGAGCAATTTGAAT